CACATGATTCTTGCTCTTACACCACTAAAACTAGGATTCTACTCTTTGCGCGGGGCTTGTTCTCCGGAGACGAGGGGGATGAGCTGGATACGGAGTCCAGTTATAACATCACGTAGTCTGTTCCAGACCGTCGGTTGCCAGGTTACATGCATGCATATTACTGTGTCTTTAATCACGTTCATCGAACTTTTGTCGATTCATTGCAAACATAACACCCATAAATCTACAGTATTGGTCCGTTTCTGCTTCGCTGAGACCTAAAATTTGTTTCTAGCGTTCCAGGCGTTCAGATGGTCGAGTGCAGCGCGAAATGGGAGAGCGGGAAAAAAGAAGGAGGCAGAGAGGGAGTCCGCTGTTTTTTTCCTGCTTATATCTATTTGCGCCGTCCTCACAATCTGAAGGTCTGGAACAGGCTATAACATCACGTTTCAAAACCAATCTTGACCTTGACCCTGGGGGAATGGGGGCGGGGGGTTGGGCAGGGGCGGATTGAGTTGAACTGAACGGGTATTAATATTAAGTCAAGGAAACCGGACCTCATATTATTATAGAGGGCCGTTTTCAAAATTAATTTTTCATATCATATCATATCATTGCATGTATTCTTTGTTTATCTTTCATCCGTTATTTGACATCATTTGTTACTGCTTATCCATGCGCCTAGTCTTCATGCACGTTCAGAAAAAGACCGGTTCTCTCCTCTTGAACCTGCTTAAAACTTCAACTCTGTCGGTTGTTCAAACTACTCTGTCAGTTGTGTACATTATTTGCTCGGTCAGCTGTAAACATTTAATATGTCGTTTGTACACACCCCAAGGTCAGTTGTGTACATTATTTAATCTGTCAGTTGTAAACGTTTGCTCTGTCGGTCAGTTGTGTACATTAGTTAATCGGTAAGTTGTAAACGGGTAATCTCTTACTTTTCTAAAAGATGTTTTCCGTCTTGATGTAAGATTTTTCAAACGTCTTAAAATAATAGCCTCTGTTTTTTCTCGCGTATAACAGGAGTGACATTTTAAAGTGATCTTAAGGGAATTTTAAGATGTTTTTGATTAGTTGAAAGCTTTAATCTAACTTAATAAGCAAATTGTCTTTGAGAAGTTAGATATAATTTACTTTTACTTAAAAGTATGTTCTGTATACCTACAAAACGTCTTTCTGGAATTTCGTAATTAAGCTCAAACTCTGTATAAATTTGTTGGGAAGCCATTCGCTGAAAATAAAATTTCAAGGCAGCTCAGATGCTATCGTGTCTTAAACTTATGTTATATATGATTCAAAACAAAACAATAGACAGAAAAATTATTTCTTGGAAATTTTTATTTAATTCTGGAACAGATGTATTTATCCTTTTAAATTCGCCTCACAAGTCGATTATCGATGATCTGTACTGGCACGCGAAAACATGATCCGGCTAAGTCGAGCACGCGGCAATTAAAAATCAGCACCAAAACCTTCTGAAAACGTGTACAGAACATGTATAAGAAAATTCATATTAAAAACGCAATTTTGTTAACCATAATGTACAAAATGTACCTGAAATTCTTTGAAAGCTTCACTGCCACGGTTAAATTTCACGACAAAACGAGCGCAACATGATCAGATTCCTCGAAGGATCGAAGACAAATAGAAAGGCAAACAGTGAGCATTATTTTGATATTCTCTCTCCATCGATGTCTTCAAGTTTTCAACCTCGCAAAGTGAAATTTTACGCAAAAATTCTTCGCGATTAGTTTTTTTTGTTTTTCAAATTTCGGATCAAAACATCCAAAGTGCCTCTCGTTGGTTTACCTATGATGCTGCTAATCACAGGAAAAGAAAATGGCAAAACAAAGAGAAACCGCCAGTGTTGAAAAGATTTA